AATAGAAAAAAATTCACATGGCCAAAATCTCCGATGAAATGAAGTCAGAACTTGTTACTCTGAAAACTAACACAATAAAATCATATAACGACTTCGAGATTATAAAAAAATATTTGTAGCAATTTGATCTACTAACTACCATTAATCTTGATGAGCTTAAATCTTTATATATGCAATTCACATTATATTAATTGTCTATTCACAAGAACACCACAACAACAAATCCCTAAAAGGATTAAAACCTAAAAAGAAAAAATCATAGGTCCCAACAAAAAAACATTCACAAAGATAACTCTAAGAACATGCAAATCAAATAACAGTCTCAAACTAAATAAATTAATTCAAGTTACGTTGGAGGTATATAATTTTTGTCCCTTTACAAATAAACATATGCTTTTTTTCTTTGTGGAGTTCACAATATACATTCATAAAACAAGAAGAAAAATTTATTTTCATTCTATTTTTTATAACTTGGCCAAAAATTAAAATTAACAACCAAAAATAAGATAAAATTATCACCTCTCTTATATTGATTGATCATTGACTCATTATTTGTATTGGATTTTGATTGTTTTTGTCGATTAGTATCAGCCATAATCAATGAGGTAACTTACACTCTCTTGTTTTTATATACGATTGTATAGAAAGAACACAAATATAAACTATAAAAAATAAATCAAATATATATATATATATATATATAATAAATTACTGGTCTTTCCTTCACAGAAGAAAGAAAAAGACAGCGTAATGGTCTGAAATTGTTAAACAAAAATATAATTAAGATTTGAAAAATTATTATTTATAAGATAAGTATTAAAACAATTCTCTAAGAATAAGTTTCCTCTAAGAGAAAAAAAGGGAAATTTCCCTCCCAAATTATTTATTTATTTTAAAACATATATTATTTAATAATATTAATAAAAGCAACTTCAAAATTTCTAAAAATTATATTTAAAATTCTTGAATATATATATATATATATATTCTAAATAAAATCTATAAATTAAAATTACATCATCTATAAAAATACAACTAAATTTATAAACCCTTAATATATATTTAATACAAATATTTAATATTACAATTTCTTATCATATGTATCATACATTATTCTTTTATCATTCATGTTAAAATAAAATATATTAATCTATATTAAATAAATTATATAGTCGATAATGCACATAGAAACTATATTTAAAACATAATCCAAATACATTATATGAAAAAGATCACAAACTTAATCCAATTATAGTTAACATTTTAATTTATAACTAAAATTTTTTATTAGCTGGCCCTATTCCCATATGTAATGAGGTAAGGGAGAGGTAGGATAGTAGGTTGCCCCCAACGTCAGGTTGAGAGCATCATCTTATAACTAAAATTTTTATTTTTACCAAATAAAACACACCATAAATTTTTAGACCAATACAATATGAAAAATGTCACAAACTCTATCATGTCTTATAGGTCGGGTTTAAGTTAAATTATTATCCCTAAATAATGATTGAATTTGAATGAAATTGAGCTTAAATGATAAGATTAACATATAAAAAGATACGATTAGTTAATTATTTACTCATCTTTGTACATCTCTTAAAATATTCAACTTAAATGTTATGTTGGATACATTTGCGTAAGTTACTTATATTTTAATGTAAGGTAATATATATTAATTAACCATTACTTACGAATACAATTTTCTATCCCCATTTTATATCCCTATGTGTCCACCATTCATATTATAACACGTGTAATATAATATAATTCACCAATAACTTAATCAAGTTTGCCATCATTATTTTTTATTTTAATTTAATGTTTCCTTTTATCGTATAAAATAAAAAATTTAATCTTTATTAGTATATTATCAGTGTTAATAAATTTATTTTATTTATCTATTATTCTCTAAATTATATATTTTTTATCTATAACTAAATTTGATTCTTTATAAAATTTTGAATAGTTTATTATAATTTAGTTGGATTAATTTTATTTTTTTTATTTTGATTTTAAATTTTAACTTTTTAAAATTTTAAAAAAATTAGTTTTGCTTTATGTTTTTTGATATTACGTGATGAAATTTTCAATTTTTATAAATATTTTTAAATAATTAATCTCAATTAAATAAAAAAATAATTAATGATTTTTCATATATTATGTTAAGTTTATTTTGATTGTTTTAAATAGAATTTTTTTCATTTAATTAAAATAAATTAATTATAAAATAAAATTTAATTTAATTTGTTGTGATAATTTTATTTGTAAGTAAAATTTATAGTTACAAAATTTGCCACTATATAATTTTTTGTGCCAAAAAATGGAGTAAAATATTTATGACAATATATTTCTCACTATAATTAAAATATATAACTACAAACAAAATTTGTCACCAAAAATTTGAATCTCATTATTTGTTGTGATAGTTTTTCTGTAACAAAAATTATAAGTTATAGTTACAAAATATGTCACTATATAACTTTCGTTTTTGCGCTAAAAACTAGAGGAAAACATTTATGACTATACATTTTTTCACTATAATTAAAATATGACTACAAACAAAAATTTTCATGAAAAATTAGAATCTCATTATTTCCTGTGACAATTTTTTTCCTATCATAATTATTAAAATTTATAGTCGCAAAACTTGTCATTATGTGTCTTTTTTTGCACCAGAAAAATGGATTTGTGATAAAAAATGGTAACAAAATATATTGCATCACCATATGTTACACATGTTTGTTAATTGTGACAAAATATTACTATGATTTTAGTTTCTGTGTCATTGTGTAACGCTCGGGAAACAACTAGGACACTTGAGTTACTCTAGCAGTATGAAGATCTTCTTACATGTTTAGAATGTCCGAACATATCTCAGTCAATGCCAAAGCACTTCAGTCGTTGGTCGGGAGTAGATGCCTCATGTACTCATAAGGAGTAGGTCAGTTGGGTGTACATTTCCGATGTTGAAATTTCAAATCTCACCTTAAGTAGGCTAAAAAGGTGTGTCCCGAGATGCAGTGAATCCTCCAACCACACCATGATGCCTACCTTAGCATGTGTGTTTAACATACTTGTATGCTTATATTTTGCTTACTAGCACGGCCATATAGTGAATGCATGTAGTATAGTTTAGTTATTAGCTTGGCATTGAGCTTGTGGGCTCAACGTTCAAAATTTGTTTCTGTGCGCAGGTTCTTAGGAGGACCGTAGAGGAGCTTATTGCACATTTGACTTTCAAGACTTTCAGAGCAGCAACAGAGTACGTCTTGAGTCATTATTTAGATGGCATGTACTAGTCATAGATTTTCGTGTATTTGAGTCGTAAACCTATTTGAATATTTGAATTATATTATTTTGGAACATATTTTGGGTGCTCCCCATTTGTAAACTTGAGCACTTATGTTTTTATTTTATGATTTCAATTTGTAGTAATTAAAATGATGTTTTTCATTTTTTTAAAGAAGAAATTTCAAGTTAGCCACTTCGGTGGTCCTATATAATACTTTGGTTAGGCATCTTCAAGTCGGATCGAATTAAGGTGTTACATTATCTAACGTTCATGAACATAAATGAACGAATGTTCCATTTTTTCGTGTTCATTCATTTAATTAAACGGACATGAAATCTTGTTCATGTCCATTCGTTTAATAAATAAACGAACTTCCCACCAAGTGATTCACGAATGATTCGTCGAACGTTCGGTTCATTTACATGCCTAAATATAATCTTAATTCAACCTATAAGGGAGGGGAATAAGGACTCTAGGGGAAGAAAAGCAGTTGTTCCTAATCAATCTAGAAGTCATGACTTAAGAGAATATGAGTGAACAAAGATAAATAATTTGACCAACCGATCAAATATATTTGCTCAAATGTAGTAACAAAATTATTTGATCTTTAATTTAAAAATTATATAAGTTAAATATTAATTTTAGTGACACATTACAAATTCTTAACTTAGTTTAATGGTCAAACATTGGACACTTGTTCAAAGTGTCCCAAATTCAACAAAAAAATAATTTATTTTACAATGGTAATATAGTATAAGTTAAACATAAAATTGGATGAAATTAATATAAATGATAACCTAGTAGGTACGTTTTTTTTAAGAGAGTTAGGGTTCTATCCTTACCAACACTATATGTTAATTTTTTTATCCGACTAATAAGGGTGACAAAATTGATATAATTTTTAATAATAAATGATAAAAATAAAATAGAGAATTAAATATAATTTAAAAAAAATAATATTTGAATTACTAAAATAAAATATCTAAATAAATTAGTGATCAAATAGATAATATATCGAAAAATTTAATATAATTGTAAAATTTTAAAATATTTTATTTAACATAAGTTTAAACATATTTAAATATAGTTTTATTTAATAAATTGAATTATTTAAAATTTGATATTAATTTAATAATAATTTTAGGGTAAATTATGTATTTAAGTCACCCATCTATTCGTGTGGTTTTATTTGGTCACCAACGTCGTTTTGATCACTCGTTACAAAATAAACAAAATTACTGACGTGATAATTTTTTTTATTTTTCAATGATGACTTGATATTACCTTATGGTGACACGTCAGTATCGCTAATATTTTTTTAGCGGCTGAAATTGGGGTTGTAAAATGACTTACCCTTTTTCAATTGGTAAGTTGTTTTATGGGAGAAAAGAATTCATTTTCCTTTGATAATAAAAAATTTTCTTTTGACTAATTAGTTTTCCTTTAACTAAACATAGGACAACTATGAAAACATTTTCGATAAAATATTTTCCCCCAGACATATAGAGGTATAATTTTGGAAAAAAAATAGTTATGTGATCAAAATGGAATAACTAGAATAAGTATGTGACTAAAACATAATAATGAGAATAAATTGGTGACTAAATAATTTGTGTACCCTAAATATTAATTAAACATAAAAACCTCTTTGCAAATACGAAAATCTTAATTACATCGTCAGGTCAATAGATCAAAACTCGAAATCCAAACCAGACTACCAAAGATCTAAACCAGATGGTATACATATTAGCCACTCTTCCCAGTTTAAGCACTTAAACCAACCTTTGAAAATGCCCACCACCACCGTCTTCTTCCTCCTCCTCCTCTTCTCCGCCGCCACAATTCTCCTCAGCTCCGCCGCCCCTATCCCCGGACTCGACTCCTTCTTAACCCAACAATCCCGCATCGACCCCAAATCCACAAATGACCCTTTCCAATCCCTCCCTTCTTCCCTAAAACAATCCCTTTCTTCTTCCTCCCCTGGCCCTCTCCACATCCCTTCCTTGATCTCCTCTCTCCTTTCCCTTTCCGTCCCAATCCCTCTCCATATCCGCCTCGTTGGCCCCAATTTCTCTTCCTCCTCCAGTTCCCTCCTCACTTCCTTCCTCCAATCCTCCGTCACCTCCTCCCACTTCCACCTCATCTCTACTTCTCCTTCTCCTCCTCCTCCTCCTCCTCCTCACTCGCTTTCCATCAGCCACTCCCTCCATTTTGACGTCTCTTTGTCTTCTTCCTCTCTTTCATCTTCTCTTTCCGCCGCTATTTCCTCCGCCCTTTCCTCCTCTCCTTCCTCCCTCCGTACCCATCTCCTTTCCATCTCGTATGCCACCGTCGACTCCATCATTTCTGGCCATTTCGACTCCGAGAAAACTGAAAATTCCGTTTACATCTATATCCTCAATCTGGGTGTCACCTCCAAGCAACCTTATGCATACTCTTACTATCATGCCGATTCCTCCGCAGGCTACACTAATTGCTTGGGGTCTCTTTGGACCGGCAGTAAAAGGTATCTTTGGATTGATCTCGGGGCGGGTCCGGTTGACTACGGGCCGGCTTTATCTGGTGATGGGGTACTACCTAGAGGTGAGTTTCACCCTTTAGCAGCTTTACATGGAAGACCCAAATCCGATAAAGCCTTCCTCTCGGAGTTGGCTTCTTTGATATACAGTGCTTATCAGGTACTTGTTGTTCCTCCTCTGAGAATTCCTGTTCATTTTGAGAATTCTTTAACCGTTCAGCTTATCCATATTCACCGATCTGGAAGTGAGGATTTAAGTGGTTTGGAGTGGAATGTGATTGAAAAATCGTTTCGTGATGAGGCAAATGATGGTGAGTTGTTGTTCGGAAGTCAGAGTTTAGAGTTCAAAAAGTATAGCGTTAAGTATGAGGAGTGTTCGATTTGTTCTTTTGCGGTTTCTAGGTCGACCAACTCGTTTACTTCGAGGTTTCTGTTCGATAACTATACTTTGATTGTGAACGAGTATTTGGATTCAAAACGATTGCATCAGATATTGTCTGATTCGGCAGAGGAGTTTAGGAGGGTTGCAGCCTTGCCCGAGGAGGACTTTGGTAGTAGGGTACTTCCTGTTTATGTATTTGACTTGGATTATCATACCACTTTGTTGCTTGATCGGTATCATCAGACTATTGCATTTAGAGATATGGTTATCGCTGTTAGGACAAAAATTGCACAAACAGTTGGTGATTACAGTTGTAACGGTCGTCATGTTTTTACTCGTACAAGGGAGCTGCAGAGGCCACTTGTTGGTTCGATTTTACAGAGTATGTGGGGAGTGTCGCCTACTCATTTGATATGGAGCCCTACGCATAATAGTACTCTGGTGGATTACACATGGAGTGTTGGTCAGACACCTTTTGGACCATTTTCAGAGGTTTCGTCGTTGTCTTTTGTGCAGAAGGATGCAGCTCGGAGAAATTTTATCTTGACGTCATTGAATTATAGTTTAACTAGTGCTATTGATGTTCTCGAATCTATTGATGCACAAGGTGGGGATAGAAATCTTCTTAAACAGAAGCAGAATGTTGAGTTCATACAGAGATGGAACTTGTTTAGGTACAAGCTGGACAAAACAGTTTCCTCTTTGTCACATTTTGACTTTGAGATGGCATTCTATTACTTGAAGTCCTCAGATCATGATCTCTATGCTATTCATGATCTTGTTTACATTGCATCACAAGAGATTGAGGCATCACTTGTTTGTTTCAAGGACCCACAATTCCCATGGGCTGCATTATCATTTTCTGCAGTTGTTTTCCTTGCCCTCTCTTATGTTTACGCAAAAAGAGAGAAACTTTTCAGAAACAAGAGGAAGCGATTTTGAAAGTTAATGAAACAAATTCTGTATCATTTGAACTTAATAAAGCACATGTATTCCTGTGAGAATGGTAAGTCCCAAGATCGAAGCATAGCTTTACTCAAGACTTTCAGAAATTTTAAAGAGAATTCTGTTTCGTTTCTCATATTTTGATGGCTGCATAACCTGTCAAAATGCTATATTTTCCTTGCATGCTGGATGAATGTGAACCGTATCATCTTGACGCAGTTTGTGTCATCTGTGACATCTGCCTGCTTCCAATCGTTCTGGGCATCAAACTATACATCCATTTGAAAGACCATGCATCTGCTCTTAAATTGCAGTGCACTTCTATAACCAGATTATGACTATTTATCCTGCCATCTTTTTCAACCTGAAGTTTATAACTTACTGCTGATATGAAGGCATATGGTGTAGACATCCCTGTGAATCAATTATATGGAATATGAACTAGGCGTCTAGTCTGCTGTTTTATTTAGTTCAAGGCACATTTGCACTTGGTGGATTAGTTTGCTCTTTCTATATTTAACACGAGGTTGTCACCATTCTCTTTTATTTCCCCATGGTGTTAGAAAAAAGGTAAGCTAGCAATCATTGAGACCAGGGGCAGCTATACACAATATCTCAATTTGTCACTATGTCAAAAACTTTGCACCTGCCTATTCAATTAAAGCTGTACTTTTCTGGCATTAATCTTTTGTGGTTTTATGTATCAGTGCATTGATGCCAGCTATAGTTTAGGTTAATAACATTTATCCCAGAGTAGCTTATAAGTTATGTTGGTCTTCGTTTTGCTGTAATATCTAATGCTCTGTTTGTTTTCCCCCCGAAAAAATTGAGAGAAATTCAAACTGTTTGAGTTCGATTCTGCCTAGATTGAATACCAGTCTAAACTCGAGTTTGATGTAGCTTTATATGTTCGAACTAGTTTGAACTCGCCATCTTAATTTTAAGAGGCGTAAGATGCAAAGGATCTTTGGAGCCTAGGCGAGGTACACCTTTTATGCCAAAAGTTTATAAATCAGTTCTGAGATTCTGAAACATATCCACATCCGTTATTGAATTGCTTCACTCCCGAATCAGCACTTAATTTCCTACCCACGTTATGTTTCTTCACCATTGTTTGTCCACTCGGGTAAAGACCTATTTCTACCATCCATGAAACCTTAGTTTCCAATCCATGAAACCTTAGTTTCCAAAGCATTTTAACGTGGAGTTAGGTTACCTTAATTTTGATAAGGACACATGGATATAGGACAACTATAAATGGTCGCCACGTAGAATAATAACTTATCCACACATAAAGAACGATGAAGGACACTTATCCCTGGATAAAAATTACTTGCCTCACTTCAATACATTTTTTAATGGATTAACGGAATTTAAACGGTCGAATGATTTGAACCGGAATGATTTGAACCGGCCAGACCGATAACGTTAAAGATCAAACACATTTAATTAAAAATCGATTATCAAAGTTCATCAAACCCATAAAAAAACTATCGGCATAATTTACCTTCTGACAAACGAACGATGAAAGACACTTATCCCGGGATAAAAATTGCTTGCCTCACTTCAATACCTCGTTCTCTGTCCCTTTCATAAAAATTCGCCAATATATTTGATGATTGTAATATTTACAATCACTATTTTATTTATTTCTAAATAATACATGTTATTTTATAATAAATTTTAAATTTCTGCATAACTCTAAATTGTTATTGAATATTTAATAAAATTTACTAAGTAGATATTATTTAATTTTTTATTATTTTAAAATTAATTATATTTACTATTAAATAAACAAATAAAAAAAAGCTTGATAACATTATGAAAACACGTATGTTTTGGTGGAAGGAGCACGCCGGACACGAAAGAGAATAGTTGAGCAGGTGATTATTATGGGAAGTTTAAAAACATGTTAATATAAGGTTAAATGGATTGAAATCAGTTATTACTTAAAATATGATGAGTCTACAGCGCACGTTATGCACTGATATACACTGATTAAATTTATAAATAATCATTAAACTATGATAAAATGATTTTTATTGGTCATTTAATTTTTAAAAAATATTAAATAAATATTAAATTTTGAATTTCATTAAAAGGAAGTATTGACACTTAACTATCGTTAAGGACTAATGTGACATATTAAATTGATAAAACTATCTCATGTGCTCAATCAATTGTGACTTTAATTTTGTTTTTGATATATATTTTTTAATATTTTTAAGTAATAATTCTAAAAAAATTTAAAAAATAGTTTTAAATATATCAATTTTTAAAATTTATTTTTGAAATTATAAATATATTTTTAAAATTTTATTTAAAACCATAAAAAATTAAAATTTCATTTTTTATAATTAAAATTGTTGGAATTCAAAAATTATAATTTTTTTAAATATAATCGAAATTAAATATAAAAAGTTAAGAGTTAAAAAATTTCATATTTTTAAAAAATAATTATAATTTTATGAATTAAAATATTAATTATAAATTTTTATTTTCTGAAAAGTACTTTTATTATTTTAAAAATGACTCGTGAATTTATATATATATATATATATATATATATATAAATTGATTTTTTGAATTATTACTTCAAAATATTAAAAAATATTAAAATGAAATTTAGTTTACAATTAAGGGTTCAAATGGAATATTTTTTTATTAATTTAACATGTTACATTATTCATTTAATGATAATTAAAGATGCAATATTCATTTTATAATACAATTGAAGAGTCGAATGAGATATTATGAAACTTTTAAAAGTTCAATATTCAAAATGATTATTTTAGTATATATTGAAAATATTTTGATGTTTCGATATAACAAATTAAATTAAAAGAATTTTAATTTTGAAAATGATTTTTCTAAGCATATTCGATATATTAAATCGAATATCAAAATATTACTCAAAGTATTTCAAAGTTCATTTTAAATCCTTACTAAAGTGTAAAATTAAGTTTTAATCTTAAAATAATTTCAAAACAATTTTACAAAGTATTTCGAACCGTTTCAAAGTAAAAAATTCCAGATTGCTCAGAGGGAACCGATTCCCCCCTAAGGGGGTACCGATTCCCCCATGAATGGTTTTGCTCCGAGAAAAACAGAATGCTCGGAGGGAACCGATTCCCCCCAGGGGGTATCGATTCCCCCCACTATTTAACGGTCGAAATATTTGAATTTTACACTTAGGGAACCGATTCCCTATGAGGGGATACCGATTCCCCCCACGCTCCAAGCTGTTGTATTAATTGTTTTCACACTTAAACGGCTCCAATAACTTCATTAATGATCCCCAACGTTCAGAATTGATTCAAGGAGTATTTAAACAAGCTTAAAAGCCATTGGTCAACAACAAGAAACATCAAGCAACTAGAATCAAGAGAGAATCAAAGAGAAAGCATCAAACCTAAAGTTTGAGCATTTCAAGCTTATTTTTCATTCAATATTCATTTTGCTTTCAAGAACACTTAGAGTGCTCAATTGTATTCATTCTTGAGTGTTCTTTTCTTTGTTCTAGAATTGTGCAAACAATCTACCTTGTGAGGATTTCCTTGTAAGTTTGCAAATTTGTATTGTTCTCTTTGAGAGAGTGTTCTTAAGAATTTGGGGTATAATTCTTGAGGGTTTGTAAGGTTACTCTTTGTCCTCAAAAGAAAGATAAATTAGTGAATTTGTGGAAAATCCTTAGTGTGGATAGATAAGGTAGTGGACGTAGACTTTGGTTGAGAATGTCGAACCACTCTAAATCGCTGTGCAATTACTTTCAATTTTCTGCAAAAGCTTCCACCAAATTTTTAATTGCCAATTCACCCCCCTCTTAGCCAATTCCGTCAATCGATTAACTCAACAATTGACATCAGAGCCTAACTCATTTGAAGGTTTAATCGCCTCTTGAGTCGATTCGGGAAGAGTTACATCGATAATCAAAGTCATCAATGGCCTCTACTTCAAACTTCGACTCCGGTCTCGATTCGATGCCCGTCAACAAGCCTCCTTTCTTCAATGGGGCTAACTATGCCTATTGGAAAAATAGGATGATGTACTTTATTCAAGCAAGTGACATGGGAGCATGGAATGTCGTAGAAGAAGGATACATCAAGCCTCTTACTCATCCAAGATTGTGGAGTGAAGGAGAGACAAGAATGTTCCAGCTCAACTCCAAAGCCATCCATATTATATTTTGTGCTCTTGGACCAGATGAATATGAAAGAGTTTCATCTTGTACAACCGCCAAAGAAATATGGGAAAAACTTCAAGTCACTCATGAAGGTACCGATGAGGTAAAGAAATCTAAAATTAGTATTCTAATGCATATCTATAAAAATTTCAGGATGAAACCAAATGAAGATATCAAAGCTATGACAAATAGATTTTCAATGATTGTCAATAGTCTCAAATCATATGGAGAGACCATTTCAAATGAAATGCTTGTGAGGAAGTTAGTCTACTCCATTCCAAAATCGTGGCAATCAAAGAAGACGACAATCATCGAGTCTAAGGACCTAACGTCCTTAACTCTTGAAGAACTAATCGGTTCCGTTCTCACTCATGAAATGATGCTTGAAGATGAAGTGGACCTCGATAAAATTGACGAGACACCAAAGGAGAAGGAGAAGAAGAAAAACATTGGAATTGCTCTCAAATCCACAAAAGATGAGAGCAATTCGAATGACGATAATGATGACGAGGAAATGGAATTATTTTCCAAACGATTCAGAAAGTTGATGATGCCCAACCGAGGAAGAAAATTCAAACGTCATGAAGGCTTCAAAACTGAATCTAAGGAGAAAGACCCGATCATTTGTTATGAATGCAAAAAGCCGGGGCATGTCAAATATGATTGCCCATAATTGAAGAAAAAGGGTCAATCCAAAAAGAAGCACAAGGCTCGTGTAGCTACATGGAGCGATGAAGAAGGTTCTGATGAAGAGGAACAAGAAGTTGCAAACTTGTGCTTGATGGCTATCGGGGAAGATTATAAGGTAACCTCTAACTCATTTGATTTGGATGAATTATCTTATGATGAGTTATTAGAGGATTATAGTGGGCTGGCTTCGGATTATAAGACTCTATTTTCAAAATACAAAAATGATATTTCAAAATTGAAAAACAAAAATAGTCTTATATCCAGGACCAACAATGAGCTTAAAAGTAAGATCAAAGAATTGCAAATC